CCCCCTACACAATTACTATTAGTTGAGAGAAGGTTTATGCAGACAAAAGAGACTTGATTAGGGAAAAATAATATTAACATTTATTACTAATAAGACAAAAACTAAAGAACTATATTTACAACAATTCTAATTATGTAAAAAGTACTATATATTTACAGAAATACTTCTCCCCCCTTTATATCAGTCCAAGGAGGAAAAGCAGTCTCTTTCTCCATTCTCGGAGCTCCGGGTCTTTCAATAACTCTGCAGCACTCTAAAGCTCTTCTGTTATCTCAGGATGATAAGTCCTTTTTTTGTCACAGCTGGAACTCTTTTTCTTTCTCTCTCTTTTCTATGTCAGCCTCCAGGGCTGGGCCTAACCCCCTCCTGGGTTAAGACTGGAGGCTGGGGGGTTACTCAGGCCCTGAAGGGTCTTCCATGGGCTTGCAAGGGGACACTTGCTTACCATGGATCTTCACCACAGGGTCACAGGGGATAATGGCTTATGAGTCCACCCCTGTTTTCCTGTGAGGTCCCTCCCCACGGGAGAACAGTCCTCGATAGACCTCTCCGACATGGGTCTAGCATGGATCCCACACAAGGATCCCAACATCTCACCCGGGCCGTCCTCGCTCCGGCGTACGTTTTGTTTCTCTTAGGGTTACAAATTTCCAGCACCAGCAGCATGGATCTCTCACTGAGATCCCAAGCTTACCCAAGTCGTTCTTGCTCCAGCATAAGCCTCGTCCCTCTCAGGGTCATAAATCTTCAACAGGACTCTGCTTTATTTCAGTCCTTCTCATGAAGTCTCGGCTTCTTTGTGCATTAACTTACTCCAGTGTAGACTCCTCCACGAGCAACATGGGGGTCTTCTCACCCCAACAAACTTTCACAGGTGTCAGGGTTTTTATTTTTCAGTCTTTTCCCTGCCGAAGGGAGAGAGAGAGAGAGAGCAAGAGAGGGGGGAGAAGCAGGCCCCCCTTCGAACTTCTCTCTCCTGCTGCAGCTTTGGCCTTGAACAATTCGTTATCTCTCTGCCAGAATTATTCTGCAGCGGTTTTTGTCCAAGTAGTCAGTCCTTTACAGTTTTTTTTTCTTTACTCTCTTACATGAGAGAAGGGGGCTTCAGTGCCACACCTGCCCCCGGCCCAGGGCAGGGGGAGGAGGGGGCCTGGGTCCCACTCGGGGCCTACTGCTGCTCCTACATGGCTACCTAATTTCAACTGCACCACCAACCTTCTCTTCCATTTTCTTAAATATGTAATTAGCAAAGGCGTTACTAAAGATTTGGACAAAACCATCCTCAGCCCCAGGGACTGGCTGGTGGGCAAAACCACGACACCTGTCATGCAGAAAGAACTAGAGTTCACCACGTGCCCTGTGCCTGGGGCTTCCTTTCCCTCTGACTGGGGCAGGAGAGGACCAGTCTCCTGGGCTGCCCCTAAGAGCTGAGGTGCTGGCCCGTAAAGATGTGGAAGTACACAATTTCTTCTATGTTTCAGATCCAAGAGGATGTCACCTCTGCAGCTGGTGTATCCATTTGCAGGTAATACAATGCTACCAAGCTGTTGGAATATGATGCAGAGGCACTTTGAATCACCTTCCTCCATGTGGCTTGTGTGCAAGGGACATCCTCTAAATGTTATCATTTTTTTAGATCACCGTAGATGACTTCCAGCACTTATTCTCTCAAGTACTGGATACCTTCGTCTGCAGTGGTCCACCTTCCTGTGGAGTTCACAAGATCTTCTTTAAATGGATACCTTGCTCTCACACTGGAGAGGAGCCGTCTGCAGAGACTCCAAATTGCTGCCTCTTTTCCAATTCCTCTTTCCTGATCTCTTGCAAGGGATCCCAACTGTTGGGCTTCATGACCTTCCAATTGCTGACTATTGGCCCCATTATCCCAGCATCAAAGCAGCCAGGTAGGAATCTACTCACCTGGCTGGCGGCTGTAATCTTTTCACAAGTCTCGAAGTTATGATGAGATCAGGGACTGGCTAACTTCAGTTTCCCATTCGATTTGTCTCACTCCTTTCTTCAATTTCTTTGTCGAAGGACTGGCTTGTTGATCAGACCCTTCCTTTCCTGATTTTCCTTCTTCTTCTTCTCCTTCTTCTTCTTCCAGCCTTTCTAGTTGATGACATGGACCTGTAGTTCTCCTTATCCACTTTTCTTTTTCTCTACTGGGGCAATTACTGTAGTTGTAGTTTGAGTCCCTATCTTAGCCATAGTGTCCTCCACTGCAGTTTGGGTTCCTGCCTCAACCACAGTCCTCTGAAAGTATTGAACTGTGGCTTGATAGGCACAGGCCAGGCCCCAGTACAGGGCAAGAGGCTGCTGGTTTCCATTGGGGTAGGCAAGGCACCCTTCCATCAGGTGACATGTCAGTTTGCCAGGGTTGAATACCTGTTCTAATGTGAAGTCCCAGGTAATGGGAGGTGATTAACCGCCTGAGGAACCTGCCCAGATCCTTCCACACACCCTTCCAGCTGGGAACTCGATGCCTCAGGGCACATTTCAATATATTCTCACCTAAAATTTATTTTCTCTTACACCAGGATAACACCAGATTCCATGAACTCCATAGTGTGCCAACAGTATTAATTGATAGTATTAAACAGTTCATGTAAGGGTGAACAAGGACCACGAGAGCCTGCATTATAAAACCATCCACATCAATCCTGGGTAGGGAGAGGGAGATGTATTCCCTCATCCTCTCTGCAAGATATCTCCCCCAGCACAACAAGGCCATCAATAGAAGGGCAAAGTACAGAGACATTTTTTGTATTAACATGTTCCCAAACTCAGCAAAATAAAGAGACAAGCAGTACAGCTGACAAACTCTGTGTCCCCCACAGGAGCTTGATACTCAATAACTACTATTACTATAGCATGGTTAATATATAACTGCCACTGTCTCACCCCACACTGGGCACCAAAAAGGACTGTGGTGGGTTGACCTTGGCTGGATGCCAGGTGCCCAGCAAACCACTCTATCACTACCCCTTCTCAACTGGACAGGGAAGAGAAAATAAGATGGAAAACAACTCATAGGTTGAGATAAGGCAGTTTACCAAAGCAAAAGTAAGAGTTTGCGCACACACAAGCAAAGGGAAAAAACCATTATTTTATTCTCTACTTACCATCAGCAAGCAATGTCCAGCCACTTCCCAGGAAGCAGGGCTGCAGCACTCATAGCAGTTGCTCTGGAAGGCAAACACTGTAAATAGAATGCCTCCCCTTCCTCCTCCTTCCCTCAGCTTTTATATCTGAGCTGACATCATACGGTCTGGGATATCCCTTTGGTCTGTTTAGGTCATCTGGCCTAGCTGTGCCCCCTGCCAGGATCTTGCCCACCCTCAGCCTATTAATGTGGGTCGGAATGTTGGAAAGACAGCCCTGAGGCTGTGCCAGCACTGCTCAGTAGTAGCCAAAACACTGGTGTGTTATCAACACTTTTCTGGTTACCAATGCAAAATGCAAAGCACAGCACAGCACTTTGAGGGCTGCTATGGGGAAATGAACACCATCTCAACCAGACCCAATACAGCTCCTTACTGAGAGCAGGGAGGAGTAGGATCAGGCCCTCTTTGAGTGTTCAAGTGTTAGGCTTTTCCTCAGGTCATAGATGAGAGAGTTTTATGCATGTTTCATAGGAAAGTTATATTTAAAAAAAGATATCTCACATACAGTTTTTATTGAGACCACCAACACATATCTCATTTGCTGGGAAATAACCTGAAATAGAACTGCATAAGTTTTAACAAACCTTTTTTTGAGAGAGGGCACTCATGGGAGCATACTATGATTATTTAAAAAACAAAGGGAAAGGCAGAGGGAGGATACTGCTTCCTACAACACACTTTTCTTTAAATAGAAGAATACTCCATCAGTTTTGGACTTTGAGGGAACATGGTTTTATATTATTTCCATTAAAAATAGTTAATGTATACCACCTTACTTGTAATATCTGTTTTAGATTTTATGTGTGTAGTCTGTTCAAGTTTAATACTGATACAGAATATGTAATTTGTTAGTATTGCTTTGTATCTATACCTCTGATTTTATGATTGAACCAAAAATCAATGTCATGTTTACATAAAATCCAAAAGAAACATACAAATTCTGCAGTGATAAACTATTGAGAGCCAAATCTTGGTCTTTATGTTGGGAAAACAGAAATAGATTTAGATCTGATCTTCAGAGAATAGTTTGAGACCTTGGTTCAACAGGGTGCTTTGTGGAGTAGTGGCTGAAGTGAAAATTTTTCTTATGGTATACCTTCTTACAATATAAGATAACCCAGGTCTTTTACCTTGCACTATCATGCCAAGTGGAAATGCACACTTCTGAAACAGTGCATGTGTATCTCATTCAGTATTATAAATCTGATTTGCTGTGTATCAGTAACCGCAGCAGTTTCCATCTCCAAAGAGCTACACAAACATAGCTGCCCTACAAAATTGCTTGGGTTGAAGCTTTAGCATCAGCTCAGTGAGGGGAGAGGTGAAAGCAATGAGGTTAAGTAACTTATGTCAGTGATTTGGTGGCAGAATTGAGATTAGGACCAGGGTTTTTGCCACTAGAGTGCACTACTTTCCTCTTACTTATTGAGAGAATGGTTAAATTTGCTGGTAGGTGCAGGCTCTCTGGTGTGAGGTTTGGAAAATTGCTGCCAGCTTACTGAACTACTGGGAGTTTCACATTGGTCAATTGTATGCAACTCTGCTTCTGCAGCTATCATTTACCAAATAACTTTTTCTTACTCTCAAACTTTTATGAATGTTGTGATGGAATAGCAAAGAGGGCTTGTAAACTAACTCCTTTTGATTTTAATTGAGATGAAAAGGGTATGAATGAAAGAAAAGGTTCATCACATTTGTAATTAAAGCAAATTCTTTAAGTTATATTATTTCTCAGCAATAGATGATGAATTTTACTTGATTAATGAAAGGATATTGATAATAAGATATGGTATTGTATTTAATAATGTAAGACTTCCTTTTTTCCCTTCACAGGTTTCCACTTGAGTGGCACAGTGACAGACCGTGCAACGCAATCGGAACCAGAAACTCTTTGCAATGTAGCTATCAGCTTTGATCGTTGCAAGATTACCTCAGTGACCTGTAGCTGTGGAAACAAGGACATATTTTACTGTGCCCATGTTGTGGCACTCTCTTTATACCGGATCCGCAAGCCAGATCAGGTCAAACTGCATCTTCCCATTTCAGAGACACTGTTTCAAATGAACAGAGACCAACTACAAAAATTTGTACAGTATTTGATCACAGTGCACCACACAGAAGTGTTGCCAACTGCTCAGAAATTAGCAGATGAAATTCTTTCTCAGAATTCAGAAATCAATCAAGTCCATGGTAAGTTTGATTGTTGTTCTTCCTTTTGTTTCATTCCCTCTCTGGTTTCTGAGGTTTTTTTTTTTTGTGGTACTCAGGAGTGTGACCTCCTGAGGTTCCTTCCAACCTGAATTACTTTGCGATTTTTATGGTTGTCTCAGTTTAACAAGGTAGAAATGTTCCATTAGGAGGGCAGGATATGGGAAAAACAACTGAGCTCCTCCCTCCAAGTAATTATAACTTTGAAATTAAGAGGCTCCAGTCGAAAGGTGTGGAAAAGAAAAATAATAGCTCTTTACTAAAGAATATATATATAGGTAACACAACAAACAAACAAGCAACAATCCCATAACCCAACTTTCACTGAACACAATTAAGTACTTCTTTGCCTTTCAGCACAGTTATAACTACACTCATCGGGGTGTTGCCCGAAACAAGAACACAAACCAACAGAGTGTCAGTTTATGCGGTGCTTTATTCAGGGCCCGGGAAACCTGAGGACTAACGTCCCAAGTCAGGATTCCAAAGACCCTCATGTCGACTACATCTTTTATACCTTTAACAAACAAAGCTACGTGATTGGCTCACACATCAAAGCAAATATACCAGTTATACATAAACTTACATATATCATCCTGAGTACAATCAACCGTTAACTCTCCCCTCTAACACATTGTGTAACTGACTCCCACCACCAGACTACATCCTATTTCTAGTTACAAATCATCTTGTACCGGTTCTGCATGCTTGACTTAATCCTTTTACTATTGTTTCTTCTGATTAGCACATTCTTAACTCATAAGTCCCAGGTGTTGCTGGCAGGGCCTCTTTCAGGCCTACCCTGCAAAGCAAACCTTTGACCAAATTACTACTAATGCTTTAATCACTGCAACAAGTCCCCCCTTTTGAGCATTCTTCAATCTTCAATTGCAAGGATGCTCAAATCTTTATATCCTCGTCTCTTGAATTGCTGGAGGGGAATCACTGTTCGGAAGAATAACTTCTTTCCGAGTCAATGCCATCATGATTCGACGAGTGTGTTGGCCTTCCTTTACAATTATTCCTAAAAGACACTTATATACAAGCAGAGCAACAAGAATTATTATGCCAAAAATCAAAGCATATTGAATGATAGACGACAGCCAACCTGACAGGTGAAGACCAAGAGAGCTGAATAATTTACCAATCCAATTATGTTCTGCATCTTTTTGTAAATTGTGCACATTTCCCTCAATTTGTTCCAATTGAGAAATGTCATTTTCAATTTCGTGTGTGACATTCGGGATGTGAATACAGCAATGCTCATTGCGTGCATGCAGGTAACCACAAACTCCATGTTCTTTTAACAGGATTAAATCTAATGCCATTCGGTTTTGTATAGTCATGCGTGTGGTGGCTTGTAATTGAACATTCATATCTCGGAAACCTCTTTTAGTAGCTGCAGCCAATCTCTCAGTCTGTCCCATTAGTTTAAATAACATTTCTCTGTTGCGATATGATGCTATAGGAGCGAACAAGGATTCTAACACCCATCCAAATTTTACTCCACTCGATGGTTCATGCCAATTTTCAGAATCTTGTTCTGTACCGGTATCTCTTTTTCGTCTTGGTTGCATTTCGACTGTAGTCAATTTTCCTGATTTCCAGTACGGGCAAAGTGTAGGAACACCCAAAGTAATTTGTGTTGCTGATCCGTCTACGGGCATGTGAGTGGTCCATTGTCCATGTCCCATAACCCAGACTAAATTCCCTGGACTTCTCACCGTTGTAGTGAGGCAGTTAACATTACGTAAATTGTCATGGCCTTTCATAGAGTGATTGTATCCTCGGCACTCACAGCCTAATTGTAAAAGCATGCACACTGGAAGTAAGCCTATGTCATTATTGGGAGTATCACATGTATAGATTCGAGTGCAATTCCACAGTTCTGTGGGTGAGACTATTTCTCGCCATTGTTTGTGTTTCGGATGTAAAAAGGAGTAATTTTGATTTGTGGTACCTACCCAGTGGATGCACCATTGTACCTGTCCAATGTAACTATAAACTTCTAAGAGACTCGGTCCCCAAATCGTTTCCCATTCTTTCATTGTAGTGGAACTAGTAATATTTTGACACACTTGTTCACGTTTTTCTCGCAGGATAGGAATTTTAACCGCTTTACACGGTGTATTGAGGATAACAGCCGAGGGTGACACTATACAATTGCCTTTGATTTGATCACCAATTGGGTTGTTTAGCCATTGCCAAAAACCAGGCATTTCTTTACATTGTTTCTCAGTTTTCACTGTTGGTAGTAGACAGGTAAGTGTTAGATCAGTCGAAGTAGTTGTCACAAATTTACAATTCCATGTAGTATTTTTAAACATTTTAGGGACTTCTGGTACTGGTATTACTCCCCATGGAATTGGATCTCCAGCTGCATGAGGCATCGGGAGGCATGCAGTAATTGTGGATACATTTTGAACTTTCCCAAAGTCCCTAATTAATCCAACCACCAAATTTTCTTGTGTAGATTCTTTGTGAGGAATTTGTGGGATCTGCGGAATTTGTGATGTGTGAATTTGTCGAGTCATTCGCTCAATTTTCACATAAACAGAAGTTATCCCTGTCTCCCACCAATCATCCTTACTAATCCAACAAATGTATTGTCCTTCATCCTGTCCTCTTTGTACTTGTTTAACTGTTAAAATAATTGCATTTGGCCTTTGTTCAATAATATATTTAGTGCCACCCTGTAAATTGTGTCCTTTAAACCACCACCCATAATCCATATACTGCTGTTCTAGAATTTCACAGACTAATGTTATATCCTGTCCTTCCAGTATGGAATAAACTTCATATATGGGTCTAATTCCTTGTCCTTGAGATGGCACAGCTTTTACTGTTCTTATACCATAGTTTCCTTCCTTTGCACAAGAAACTATACATAAAAAGGTGCCTTCTGTTTCTCCTATTTGTGGATCAGAAATGTTTAGCCAACCTTTCCCTTCTCTTTCATCAGACCACCAGCTAACTCCTTTGCTTTGTTTTTCCCATATCTTGGTTGTCACATTTAATTTCCACCAGCTCAATGTAATAGGTTCAGGGCATGGAACATCTAAAACAAAAGTACAGTTAATTCGTAAGGGAGGACCATTCCACATGTCAGACTGCATGTGAGGGGGTATTATTTGTACTTTGGTGTTCGTATTATGTGTGAAATTGAGTGTATGTATTTCGGCATGTCCATAATCAAAACTCATTCGAATCCATACTATGCAGAAATATATACCATTAGCATCAGAAGTTACATTGGGTACCTGCAAGACGGTATAGCCTTTTTGCTGTGTCACATTCCATACCGTAGTCACACCATCTGTCATAACTTGGTCCTGGTCCTGATCTATCCATCGCCACCCAGCATGCACTTCCTCTAATCCAGCTCCCTGGTCATCAGAAAAAGAACAAGTCAGATTGACATTCGTTCCTTCAGGTACTAGGAAAAAGGAATCAGAAACACTAACTTTAACAAATGCATCGACGGTACTTATTAATAACAGAAATATTATCACTCTTATTACAAGTCTTATTTGACTGGTCGGAACACCATTTTGGTGGGCGCAATGGATTCTACAGACCACTGCGCGGGGACCTTCTTGATCCTCGTGTAGTGAATCCAGTTGTCGATGCCTTCGACCTTGACTGCTGTATAAGTTGTCATCAACACCTGGCGGGGGCCGTCCCATGTTTCTCTCAGTGGTTCCACTGACCAATTCTTTATGTAGACCTGATCTCCTGGAGAAATGTCATGCACTGGATTCTCCAGAGGTAGGGGTCGATTCCACTGTAGGGCTCCTCGGAGTGCTGCAAGAGTCTTATTTAGAGACAGAATATAGTTAAACACAGTTTGGTCTCCCACTACATGGGGATCACCCTGATATGTTGTTGCATGGTATGGTTTCCCATATAGAATCTCATATGGGCTCACTCCAATCCTTTCTCTGGGTTTAATTCTAATCCTTAACAGAGCAAGCGGCAAAGCTTGGGGCCACTGAATTTTTGCCTCTTGACAAATTTTCTTTAATTGATTTTTCAGAGTCTGATTCATTCTTTCTACCTGCCCACTAGATTGTGGTCGCCACGGAGTGTGGAGATTCCACGCTATCCCCAACATTGTGGCTAAATCCTGTACAATGAAATGTGGCCCTCTATCTGAGGACAATCCTAATGGCACTCCAAACCTCGGAATGATTTCTTTCAGCAGGGTTTTCACTACTTCTTTTGCCTGATTAGTTCTACATGGGAAAGCTTCTGACCATCCTGAGAAAGTACACACATACACCAGTAAGTACTTGTATGTCTGAGCTTTTGGTAATTCTGAAAAATCTACTTGCCAATAATCTCCTGGAAGTTGTCCAATTTGAAGTTTTCCCATTTGTACTTGTTTTCTAACTATCGGGTTGTTTTTAATGCATGATAGACATGTTGCATTCACCCTTTTTGCTAATGTTAACATCTGATTTGAGAAAATTTTATTTTTTAGAAATTTTACCATTACTTCTGCACCCCAGTGGCACTTACCATGTTCGATTTCAAGTACTGTCTTCATTATTCTGATTGGCAGTATTACCTGTCCAGTAGGGGTAATATACCACTCTTTTACATTTTTCTTTGCTTCCATCATTTGGGCCAATTTTTCATCCTCTGGTGTATAATGGGGTTTCTCTTCCATGTGCACTGCTGCTGGGTTATCACGAGTCGGTAGCAAAGCCATTTGAGTCCATGTCTCTGTGGCTGCTCGTTGTGCTGCTTGATCTGCTATCTATTCCCTTGAGACTCGGGTTCCGAATTGGTCTAATGTCCTTTTACATGCATTATTGCCACGGCTGATGGTTGATGTATGACCTCCAGGAGCTGCAGTACTTCTTCTCGATGCTTTATGGTTGAGCCTTGGGAAGTAAGCAATCCTCTTTCCTTCCACAATGCTCCGTGTACATGGACTACTCCAAAGGCATATTTAGAGTCAGTCCATAAGTTCACCC